ACTTACCCATAGCTGTGGGGGGAAGAAGAAGAGGATCCATACCACTCCTAAGGATATTAGTACGTCAGTCAGTCAATTATGTGCCATGCGTGATAAACGCTTAGGCGATCATGTACCTTTCGATACGTGACTGACGAGGCAGACTTTTTTCCCGCAGTAGGTTGCCATTTCTTTCTGCAGTAGACCAGTTGCCATCCAAGGCTATAGAATCCGGTCTGTCCTGCTATTTACCCATAGCTGGGGGGAGAAGAAGAGGATCCATACTTTTCCCAAGGGTATTCGCACGTAAGTGAATGTAATGGATTCGACTGGAATTCGAACTCGGCTCTCCGATTTCTCAATCCGAGATTGCTATCTCAAAAAATTCTTACAATCTTTGTGATGTCAACGAACACCAGTTGCCATTTTTGTGATATCAACCATTACTCGAGGTCGCTTTCGTAATGCTTGTTATAGTAGTAGAGACTTTGTAATCGCAGATACAACTATAGTAACGCCATTGGACAATACTGGTGTTAGGGGCCTTCGAATATCACTCACACTTGCTCGATAATACTCGCTCGTATAGTGATCCAAATAGAGAAATAGTATAGCAATAGAGTATAGAATAGCGGTCCGTATAGTTATTGAGGATAGAGTAGAAATGAAGATCCGAATAGTAATAGAGGATAGTGTAGAAATAACGATCAATCTAGACGTCACACAACTTCCGATATATGCGTTTCCTTTATGGTCACGTGATTCACTTAATTCAATAATTGGATCGCCTGTGTTTGCTCACTTGCGATCTATGTTTAAACTCAGCAGCGACACTTTATTCTAATCTAAAAATATCTCTAACTTTAAGTAAACTGCAAGGGCGTGATAAGCCGTAGAAGTTTTTAATTAATGTTTTGTTTGTGTTATTTTATGCTAAGTCTACTGAGGATGTTTTCACATATTAGCATATGCGAAGTTTTCATCCGAACTTTCATTGTCATGTGTTCTTAGCAATTATGCGAAGATTGATGAAGTGCAAGCGGGATTGTCGGAAATACCTTTTCTCTCCTTTGTTTTATAAAGCATGCTATCGAAATAAATTTACAATACATTTTTAGAAAGAAGTACATATTTTCATTCGATACCGTAAAACAGAGATTCGGTGCAATGTAGCAAACGATTTATTGCAGTGAAAGCAGCAACAAAGTTTAATCTGGACGGAAGACAACTGATACAATGCAGGGCGGGTGGATTATCAAGAAAATGGGTAGAAGGTGACTGAAAAGGGGGAAAGAAAAGCCCATATTTTCCGGCAGGTAAAGGCGTAGTCCTAAATGTATGAGTGGTGAGATGAGTTGTTGGCATTAGGCCAACAAACATTTTCATACTTCACTCGAACAAATGAAAAGTCTCAATGGACAATTCATAAACCATTCATGCTATAAATCAATTGGTGTTACCGGTAGAAGTTATATATATATATATATATATATATATATATATATATATATATATATATATATATATATGTAAAAGCGATGACTCTAGTAGGGAAATAAGTTAGAGATATTACAAGCAAAAGTACTTTGCGATTTTTAATATCTATCTAGTTCTTAAAGTTAATTTTTATATCAATTTTTTCCTTTAAATTTGTTAATTGAGTGATTCTATCTATCTATCTATCTATCTATCTATCTATCTATCTATCTATCTGTCCCATTCTGCTCATATCTATCTATCTAATATATTCAGGAAAATTGGTTAAGACGAAAAGTTGCTACTCCCTCACACAAACATATCCACATACATAGATGCTATATATTTGGGCAGCTGTCCATATTTTATACATGTTTCACTTAACAAAATAAACAAGGAATATTTTCCTAGGTTTTATTCACTGTTTAATGCGTTTTTCTCCGAGGAGTAACAGTGTGTAGGAACTGTCCGTAGGGATTAGTGTCCCTAACAATAGCAGACATAGTAACAATGTAACGTATCTTCTAATTTTGAAAATCGCATTAGCCGAAAGCGCTTGGAATGGTAATCAGTAGGGACAGTTCATTTACACTATTAATTTCTTGTAAATTAAAACCCTGCAAGAAAAATAATAAAATTTGAATGAATAACTTACAAATTATTCCTTGACCGTCCTATTCAATGAAACATATATACATAATTACATAATGGCCGGATACTCTCGTTTTCTAAGCGGCTAGCCAATCTTTCTTGCAGACACCTGCCAAGTCACATTTGTGTTTGTTCAGTGCCCACAGAACCGACCTGTGGCTGTTACTGCAACTATAGTGAGCGGACCCCAGTAAGTGTTTCTAAGAGAGAAACCATAATCTGTCAGTTTGTCACTTTTCAATGACAACCTCCTTCGGAGCCAAGTCCAAACCGACGCTCTGACCTTTGCCTCTACCTCTGACCAATTTCACTTCAGCTTGAGGTCGGATCCAAACCACATTTTTCTAATGATATAATTGGTTGTATTTCTTTACGCATTTAAGTGTTTATAGGTATAATATAACATGAAAAGCGACAAATGAACAAAAATTACAAAATCGGAGAAGATTTATTATTTAATTTGCTAATGATGTATTTGGAACTTAGCACTTATATATATATTAACGCATTTAACAGTTTATAGATATAGTATAGCATACAGACTTACAAATAAACAAAAACATGTTCTAGAATGTTCCACAAGGTTCTAGACGTCTCCAAGATGTTCTAGAATGTTCCAGAAAGAAAGCTTTCGAAGACTTAAGAAAGTTATCGTACTACTATAATTATATACGATTTTAGAAATTTCAGGTTGGGGATGTCATTAAAAAAAAAAAAAAAACTGAATTAAGCCCTTCTTTAGTAATTTTGGACAAAAGTTCCCCAAATTATGATACAGGAAATAAATTATTTTGCAAAAGGTTAAAAAGGCATGACCCTAATACACACACACACACACGCACATACACGCAAGCAAACAAACACATACATATATATGTGTGTGTGTTTTGTGTGTGTGTGTGTATGTGAACCGTGATGGAAAGAAAAAGACTCTAAATGAATTCGGCTAGATAAAAATAAAAATGAAAATAAAAAAAAATCTAAAAATTCTAAAGTCCCCAGTACCCTTCTTTCGTGCGCATGTGTAGTCGTGCAAACATAAAAAAAATAGTGCGAAGAAGTCCTGAAGGACAAAACGCGCCGCATTTAACGTTTTCATTTTGTCATATATTTCTACAAATATTGTTCTTGATATATAGAACTACATATTTTATCATATATATATATATATATATATATATATATATATATATATATATATATATATGAACAAAAAATATATGGAAAAACAAAATCCGAATATGCAAATATGCTGTTTTAATGTTGTTTCAATGTCGACGTCAGAATTTAATAGAGATATTTTAAATGAAAAAGAATTTTAGATAAAAATAAAATTCTTTTTCATTTAAAATATACTCTATTTTAGGAATACGTTTTCACAACATCGCCGACGTGACGCCGACGTGATCGTATTGTGAAACGGAACGCTGATCTTCAAAATTTCATTCATTCTGTTTTGATTAGTCTTACTCTTATGTCTATCGTCTTTTCATGTTGACTTGAATATCGTCTAATGTTAATTATGTTTTAATAACTAAGTCCTGAAGAAGGTCTACTAGACCGAAACGTCTGACGTCGACATTGAAACAACATTAAAACAGCATATTTGCATATTCGGATTTTTGTTTTTCTATATATTTTTCTTCATACTGTCGGATCTATATCCATATTTTTGCTCACACACACACACACACACACACACACACACACACACACACACACACATTTTCTTTTAAAGACATTTTTATGTTTAACATTCTTTTTATAGATACAAGTATTTAAGTAAATGCTCTGTTTATAATAAACAGTATTTATATAAACAGTATACATTAGGAATTGGACAAAGTCCGACAATTTTATTAAAGACATTTTTATGTTTAACATTCTTAACCGACTCGGCCACAAAGAGATTCATGGAAGATTGAAGTTTATAAGCAGTAAATTCAACCTTGCCTACCGAACGCTCCTTTGTGGCCGAGTCGGTTAAGGCACGTCATCGTAAATGACGGTTCCGTATAGGATGCAGGTTCGAATCCTGTCAAAAGACGAATATTTTCTATGAAAAATTCTCGGACATTCATGCAGGTAAATGTTATTTAATACTGTTCATTATAAACAGAGCATTTACTTAAATACTTGTATCTATAAAAAGAATGTTAAACATAAAAATGTCTTTAATAAAATTGTCGGACTTTGTCCAATTCTTAATAAATATATATATATATATAACAGCTTGGCGATAATAATTTAGTAGAAACTTACAATAGCGGGAATGAGATTTTTCTAAAAAAACAAACTTAACTGATATCGCTTCAGACTTTAATTTTTCGAAATTGTATTGAACACATTTCATTAGTTTAACAGATTCTTGACTAATATTCTTTCATTAGACTGTTTTTGTTGATGAAATCCTTCTATATATATATATATATATATATATATGGGGGAAAAAAGAAGAACCTTAAAAATACAGACACATTCAGTTTTAAATAAAAATTTTGGTGTCCATTCTATCGCGATGTCCAGCTAAGCTGTTTTCGCTCCGCTTTCTATAGATCTTGTTTTTGATCCCACATTGTAGCAACAGCAGTTAGGTGAGGAGAAGAGAGGTGATGTTTGATCATAGAGGTTAATTTCAAAAGCTCTTGATGTAGAAGGCACGATCATAAGATTATTTCCTTTAACTCCTGTAACTGTTGGAAAGACGACACAAATATCAATAAGTAGCCATATTGTTCTACGCGCCACGTCCGGAGCTCAGATATGAATCATCTTCTTAAATAACGATTTTCGCTGGAATGTCCAATTAGAATTTAAGGCTGTACACTGTTCCCATCTACATATTTAAGCTTTTCTGATTAACTTTAAGTGCTTATATAAATCATATTGGATATTTATAATATGTCATTTGTACTGAACCACAAGAGACATACTTCAAAGAACAGTGCGGGTTGAATGCTTAGGAATGCCTTTTCATGCTCACGTTTTACGAAATTTTGGAAGTAGAAAGAAAGAAAGAGAAAGAAAGAAGGTAAGGAAACTTGTTTTTTTATAGCTATTTATAACAAATCAATTTTAGATCAGCTAGCAGGACATTCATTATATGGAGGAAATATAAGGTTTAAATCCCAAACATTCAATATAAAGGAAACAAGAAATTTGTTAAATTCAATCGACAAAATCTGTATATTTTTTGTATTTTTCGAATTAGATGCATACTTTGTTCGTTTAACTGAAAAAATATTGTTTGTACGAATTTTTATCGCCTGAATACATGCACTATATATATAAATAAATAATATTTATGTTATAATTATATATATATAAATAAATAATATTTATATTATAATTTTTGAATAAATTATATTTGCTCTATTCTGTATTGAGCCATCTTTTATAAATAGCATATATATATATATGATATGGAAAAAACTTTTCACTTAACTCATATTTACTTCGGAGTGGCTATAAATGTCTAAACACTCGTCAACACTAACTCCGATGCAAACATAGGTTAAGTAGAAAAACGCTTTTCCACATGAATTCTATTAGGGCTCTGTCATTGTCTTCGATATTGAGCACTCTTTATCAACAAACCACTGAAAAATCAGCACTATATATATATATATATATATATATATATATATGTGTGTGTAGTATATATATATATATATATATATATATATATATATATATATATATATATATATACATATAAGGAGAGAGACAGGGGAGAGAGAAAGCGAGTAATGCAATACAATAGGAAAAGAAATGCTGAAAAAGGAAGCAAAATGAAGAAAGAAGCAAATGAACAAAATAAAAATATAAAAGAAAAATAAAGAAAGGAAAAGAAAAGGGAAAAGGAAACAAGCAAGGAAGAAAGAAAAGAAGGAAAAATGAAATTGTATGTAAAGCGAATGAATCAAAGAAAGAAAGAAAGAAAGAAAGAAAGAAAGAAAGAAACAAAAAAAAACAAAAGAAAGAAAAGAAGGAAAAATGAAATTGTATGTAAAGGAATGAGTCAAAGAAAAGAAAGAAAGAAAAAGAAAGAAAGAAAGAAAGAAAGAAAGAAAGAAAAAAAAAAACCAAAAGAAAGAAAAGAAGGAAAAATGAAATTGTATGTAAAGCGAATGAGTCAAAGAAAGAAAGAAAGAAAGAAAGAAAGAAAGAAACAAAAAAAAACCAAAAGAAAGAAAAGAAGGAAAAATGAAATTGTATGTAAAGCGAATGAGTCAAAGAAAGAAAGAAAGAAAGAAAGAAAGAAAGAAAGAAACAAAAAAAAACCAAAAGAAAGAAAAGAAGGAAAAATGAAATTGTATGTAAAGCGAATGAGTCAAAGAAAGAAAGAAAGAAAGAAAGAAAGAAAGAAAGAAAGAAAGAAACAAAAAAAAAACAAAAGAAAGAAAAGAAGGAAAGGTCTGGAAAGCTAATTAATCAAAGAAAGAAAGACAGAAAGAAAGAAAGTAGGAAAGAAAGAAAGATGGAAAGAAAGAAGGAAAGAAAAAGAAGAATGAATAAAAGAACGATGGAAAGAAAAAAAAATGGAAGGTGTTGAAACCGAATGAGTCAAAGAAAGAAGAAAGGAAGGAAAGAAATAAAGAAAAAAAAGGAAAGAAAGAAAGAATGAAAGAAAGAAAACAAAAGAGAAGAAAGATGAATTAAATATAAGAACAATAATATCTGGAATTCATGAAATGACATAAATGAAATAATAAACAAAAAAAAAGGCACAAAAACTAACAAATTGGGAGGCAAAAATGTGACAGAAAGAAAGAAAGAAAGAAAGAAAGAAAGAAAGAAAGAAAGAAAAGAAGCCCTGAAAAAAATAGACGTTGCGGAAGGAAGAATGAATATTAATGGTGAATGCGAAAGTAAAATTAAAAACAACAAAAAAAAAAAGTTGGAATCTTTTGATTAAAAGAATCTGTTGCTTTTTGCATCTTCGCCTGATGTCAGATGTGACACCAGTCCGTTTCAATAAAGAAAATGCCTAACGGACAGAAAATATAAAAGACAAAAGGAAAGCAGAAATAAAGAAAGCACATCTCTCACGCTTAAACGATTATTAGTAATCTGCTATTAATTTTATTCTGTCCACTGCAGCGAGTTAATTCAAATGTAAATCTCAACGCGCGCTGTGTCCCCCAAGCATAATCCATTCTTCTATAATGCGATGCTGTTGATCCCGCCTACAAACGCCATATTGGCCATCATACATTGGCCATTGCCTTTGTGATAAATGATTAAAATTAGTCGGTACAGAAGAACGTTTCAGGTCATTTCATTCATAAATAAATACTTTCATTCAACCAATCTTTGTTCTTGTTTTAATTATCTTTCCTTGTTACATAACAGCTAGTCAAAGAATCATCTTGGCTGTAATTAATTAAGCCGCATTGAATTAAAACCTTCAAAATCCTTACCGTAGAACGAATATCTTATATCGTATCCTCATCATCCCCAGTCACATGATCGGGCGTGGTTTTAGAGTCGCTGCGTGGCCGAGTTCTTGATCAGTTTGTCATATATCTGGACTGAAACCGGAGAGGTAGCGTGTATATTCGTGCATAAACCTGTTGCATAGCCCCTTTGCTCTGAGGGTAGTCTTGGGGCGACCGTAATAATTCTTCTCTTGGCCGGGTGATCGCTAGTTGGTTTGTTTGGGGATAAAATGAGAACTTCAACAAAAGAGATTTTTAAAGACGTTGACGTATACATTTTTAACTAGCCAGTGGGGCCGTTCTCTCAGCCCTACCGGGAAGCAAGTTCCAGAGACACGAAATAACCACGTCTGATCTCTTCGACGCGTAAAACTTAACTCCTCGAAAACACTTACTAACTCTAACATTCCCACATTCGGCTAAGCTAATCAAAACCGAGATCCCTATTTTGTCTACCATATGACCTCAAGGTCATCCTAGGAAGATCTGAGCCAAATACACTGCGACTAAAAAATAATAGTCTGAAACTATTATTTAACAAACCGACTTCATGTATCGTTCGAACCCTGAACCATTACATGAATTTTACCCCCGATCCCCAATTAAAATTACCTGAGTATTGTGCAACCGGTTATCAAAAATGCCTGATTTTAACCTCTTCAAAAAAAATTACCTATGTATAATGCGACACCCACTTATTTTGGGGTAAAAAAAAAATTATTATAAAATCTCGCACTTGGACACCTCGACGTGGTGTAATGGTTAGCATTCTTGTCTTGTTAGAACAATTACGACTGAGCAGCGAGTTCGATCCTCACTAGTATCTCTATGCTGTCAGCCTTGTGCCACATCTAAGCCACGCACTGAAAATAACCATAAAATCTCGAAATATACTAGAGTATATAAAAGTATATTCGTGCAGGTAAACCTGCAGGAGCACATTCCTCCTCCAGGTGGAACAGTTACCGATTTCTGCCAATATCAGTACACGCCTTGCTCACAGACCTGTGGTCGTTGATTCCAACAGAAAACCCACCACCTTGACTGTCGTTGACTTCAGTCTAGGAAGCCTTCTACACGGTGAGGGTCTGTCAAGACGGCACTAAAAGCATACATGGCAATGGAAACAAGTCTACTCGATTGTGCTAGATGACCGTTGAGCCTCCAAGAATTCGCCTTTTGACAGATCTTATTTTTAATCATGCTTAATGTTTAGCCACCTTTATCACTAGAAAGGTTTAGTGGGAGAACCGTTTTTTATTGGGATAAAATGCTTTTCATGCGTAATTACGAGAAAAGAGTACACGTCGTTTCATCGATTCTTTCTTCGCGGTATTGTCGTCTGAACTTTATTAGATTGTTACACGAACTCCATTGTTTCTTATAATTTATTTTGATACTTATCATTTATTAATGGGGTGTATGGGATGAATAGTTAGTGATGGTAATTTGCAGCGAAGTAGTCGGCCCTACTTTACTCAGGTGAATTGCGATGCGTAACTGTACTGGTCAACTGCCTACATCCAACTCGCACACAAGTAGTCGCGTGGGCACTGCGGCGGTCACACATTGGTCAACGGCATCGACCGGACGACTGAACACTGTGAGAGTAGTCGGACGTGTTTCCTGACCCGTCCGGTAAAGGAAAAAGCCTCACACTAACCCATTTGTGCCAAGCAGCCATCGACCTATCTGAGCGGAGCTGTGCCTCAGAAGTCAACGTTTTTGCCAGTATGCGGAGGAACTCCTGAAAGGAGGGATAGGATAATCTTAACAACGCCGGTGCAAAAGAAACCGAGAGAAATAGACATACAGCGAGTGACCACTGCGGCGCAAAATCCTTTAAACTGAATAAATGATGATGGTTTATTAACAGCTCTGAGGATTCATTGAACAATGTATTCCCCTTCAGTGTCTACAATCTCCCGCCAACGATCTACTGACTGTTCAATGACTCGATGATATAAAATCCCCATGTCTTAAGATGAAAAATTCATCTAGCCTCGTTTTACGCCCGACATCATTGTTGAATGAAACACCCCTCAAATTGTCTAGAAGCGACCAAAAAACGTGGTAGACTGAAAGCGCTAAATCAAGAGAATACGGTGGGTGTGACCGAACGTTCCAACCGAAATCTTTAATTACATAGCTGGCTTTTAGTGACATGGGGTGAACATTTTTATGTTGAATAATTACATTGTATCGCCGGTCAGGTTTTTACAGCTGAATTGTCTCTTTCAGTTTGTTCATTCGTTCAACATACAGCTTAGCATTCACTGCTTGGTTGTTTTGAAGCATTTCATCGCCATACACAGCACAAATGTCTCGAGCAGTTTTGGGACCCTGGTTAAAAGCAAAGAGAAGATGTCGAACATACTTATTTTTGTCTAGTTGGCATTCCATATCAGTCGGTCCCTAATCTAAAATAAAATTTTAATGACGTTAGCTAACAGTTTCTCAGGTTGACCAGTTTTACCATGAAGCAGAAACTTCTACGAAAGATTATTCTTCGAAACGATACCTAGAACACCAGAAAAAAATTAAAGAATATATATAACAATATATTTATTGCAGCCTACACGATGCCACAAATTCTTCGATTGATTTCGAAATTTCCTTTTTTTTTTTTTAAATTGAAGTTGTTATTTTTCAGTTGGTATTTTTTAGGGTGATATATATGTTCCTATCTTGTTAAAAAAAGCCTCTCGCTTTTTATTGATAGATTATTCCTCTAAAGAAGCCTGTCAAGTAGACCGACATGAACGTTATATAACACAACACAAATAGTAAATGAAATTGCCCGAACAAAGCTTGGAATATTAATTGTGTTTGATTACGTGACTCATAAAAGTATTTTTAATTGCAATTTTGTCAAGGATAGTGATATTCACTTTCTTGTTCTCGCATCCCGTGGCTTTGATCTTAACAGATATCCGGGAAACAATTCACTTGTGTCATGAGCTAGAGAACGAGAAATAACGTGCTTTCAATTGATTTCTGATATTACAATGAAATTCGGTGTGCTATTGTGTGTCGAAGCCTCCGGTCGTGCCTGATATGAAGGAGGCTGGAAAATGATATTGTCATATCGACTACACTGCACCCTATAAAAAACATCGCCTCTATAAAAAAAAAATCAAATAAATAATTGTACGCGTTAATAAAGCTTTAATCATCCAGTTCACACATCTTCCCAGTCATTATTAACGATGTAGAGGTCTGTCCTTATTGCATGTTCCTGATTGGGCTTCCAGTTCCTTTTAAAGTCGATTTCAACTCGATACTTCTAATATCTCCGCCTGAACACGGACATTTTATATACTATTCATTTTTTTCCTTCAATAGGAGTAGATTGGTTCGCCTATCGTCAGGTTTTCACTCCTCCTCGATATTTTGAAATTTATCCATTCTTTCCTGTTCAGGATTGGGTTTCTGGTTCCTTCTACATTTTTCATTCTCTTTCATTCTCAGTAGCTTCTTGCGTCTTAGTGGCATTATCACCTTTCTTGGGGGTGAAATGATTAAAAATAAAATACTCCATTTTGGACTAACCCGACTCGTGTAAACATAAATTATGGTAGGAGTCAGGTACTTTCTGAAGCAATTGAAAGAGCCGATTATTTTTCAGCACCCCATGTTTGTAGTCTTAGAAGGAAATATACAGCCATTCATTCAGCTTTCCAGTTAAGTCTCGAGTCTTTACTACACTTAATATGATTAGTGGCCGCATGAGAAATCAACCAGTTGGAGGGTGGGAGCACTACGCCTGTCGATAGTTTAATGTAATAAGAAACCTGAAATTTAGTTCTAGTATTTATCAAGTGTAGCTTCCTACGATTTCTCCAAGTCAGAGTTGTTCATAAAGTCACAGAACACTGCTATTCCTAACGTATTTATTAAATTTTAAGTATTCAACGTAAAAATTCTGCGGTTAAAGATTCTGAAAGGAACCTGGTTTGATTTCTATCGTTCATACCACACTAAAAACACTTGCCATCTCAATCACTTTATACGCAGATATGAAGACGGACACTATAGATTGGCAAAGGCTATAATAACACGATAGCACCAGTCCAGTTCTTCGCCACGAACAGTCATTTTAATTAAGACAAAGTGACACAATGAATTTATTAACACTGTCACCAAACGAATTTTAACATTGCTACAAGGGTTACTGTCGCGCCTGACAAGGTTTTGACCGAAGGGCTAAAGAGTAATTCAAATTTGTTCGTTTGAAGACAGGAGTGTCGAGAAGGAAGCTGCTGGTGACCACTTGGGAATGCACATTCAACGAATAGACAGAAATTTAAAAAAAGAAAGAAGAGAAAATATGTGCTGGGTAAAGAGACAATGAAAATGAAGAAAGAAAAAGAAAGAAAAAGAAAATAGAAAAGAAAGAAAGAAAAATAAATGAAGAGAAAGCCGATCATGTTAAAATGTCACAAGTCACGCAACGAAATCTATCACATATTTTCTTTCTTTCTTTCTTTCTTTCTTTATTTCTTTCTTTCTTTCTTTCTTTCTATACACGTACACACGCACACAGACACACTCACACACAAACACACACACACACACACACATATATATATATATATATCATATAATAATAAAAGTTACAAAACCTATCTTCCGTCTTACTCCACTTATTAGGAAAAAACAAAGCAATTTATCTCACAACGATGAGCAGAGTAATTTCTCCGAAACTTGAATTCGGTGCTAATACTAAAATCTATCTATCTATCTATCTATCTATCTATCTATCTATCTATCTATCTATCTATCTATCTATTTCAATCCTGTTTATATCTATCTATCTATCTATCTATCTATCTATCTATCTATCTATCTATCTATCTATCTATCTATCCAATTCTGCTCATATCTATCTATCTATCTATCTATCTATCTATCTATCTACTTCAGTCTGTTTATATCTATCTATCTATATATCTATCTATCTCAGTCTGTTTATAACTATCTATCTATTTCAGTCTGTTTATAACTATATATCTATCTATCTATCTATTTCAGTCTGTTTATATCTATCTATCTATCTCAGTTTGTTTCTATCTATTTATCTCAGTCTGCACATTTCTATCTATCTATCTATCTATCTATATATCACTGCTAACTTTTCAAATAGTTTTCAAATACCTTGATGTCAGAAACGAACTGAATCTCAGAATATACCTGTAGTTGCCACAACAGCACCATAAGCAACAGCCTAATAATTATTAGAGTCAGTGACGATGATAATGATAATTATTGGAGAAGATAAAGAGGACCATAGAGACCTTTCAAAATGGAAATAATTTGAGAAGGACAAGAAGTGAAAAAGAAGAAAATGTGTTTACTTGAATAATCGAGAAGGGATATATAGGACATTTGCACCTTAATTATAATGCGCGTTCACGTGTATTTTTTAAAAATCACCATCACAACGGAATGCAGATTTTATCTCAGTTGCAATAAGTTTGTCTTTGTAATTTACCCCTGAAGATGATCTCAGAAAAGATCGAAAGTACTTAGGTTAGAAAAACCTATGGTGCCTTACTTGATAAATTTCATAAAACGGACTAGCGAATTTGAAAGGATCAGTATAAAATAAGAAGACACAATATGTCTATATTATTCAATAGAACATATATATATATATATATATATATATATATGTAAAAATATACTTTTATGGCATATTATATATTTATGGGTTAATGTGCTCAATATCAGGGACACAGTGTATGTAAATATAAAAGTGAACATTGAAGTCAACACCCAGAAGCTATTGTCTGTTTCATTATAGAAGCAATCGTCAGAGCCTGGACGCAAATTTAAAGGAGAAAAAAAAATTACTGAGACGAAAATGTCTGGATAGCGCCATTGATCGATAGTTCAGACATAATAAATTTGAGGCCACGTTCTTACAATATATCACCATTCTTGGAAGATTTTCTATTGTCACAGTGTCAGGGACAAAAAATGATGGAGAGAAAAAGAAAAAGAATACACATGAATATGGCTAGATTTAAAAAAAAAATATTCTTTAAAAAATTTTGAAACTACCTGCGTCTCTCGTTTCCTGCACATGAAATGCCAACGGATGAAAGGCGTCACAAATAAACTTTCCAAGTTTGTCATATATATATATATATATATATATATATATATATATATATATATATATATATAAATATCCTAGTACTGGGTTGGTACAGATGAAATAAAATTCCAAACACCAAAAACACTCCTCTTAAAAGAGTGCCCAATACGGAGTAGAGCAAATAATATTTATTAAAAATTATAACATATCCATGTTATAACATCACTACAAAACACTACTGGTGTCTTAGCAAGATCATTTTGAAAAAAAAAAACACACACACACACACACACACACACACACACACACACACACATATATATATATATATATATATATTGTTATGGGACCTTACCCATAATAACATAATGGACTATTCCATACGTAATAAATACTGCACCTCAAGAGGAAGAGAGAGTTCAGTCCGAAGTCGGGCGTCCGGCTGATCAGCTGAACTCTCTGCCTTCGGGCGGGGAGGAACCCGAACGAGGCTACGCCGAAGGGCGGAGCCTCTTTCGGGGAGATAAACCGACCTTGAACCCGTTTATACCTGTTCAATGGGCATATTTTTGGCCGAGCCCACGGACTCGGAGATCCCACCTTAAACCGGCCTTGTGCCACATGATGCCCTCGTGTGGGGGGGGGGTGACTAAATACTGTTCCGTCTGAAGTCTGGAGTTCCGTCTGAAGTCTAGAGTTCAGTCTGAAGTCTGGAGTGAGGTCCGTCAGAAGTCAGTCAATCAGAGCGAGTTAGTCAGCCGAGTCAGAGGCAGTCCGAAACAGAGTCGTGTTCAGACAATTACTACTAAACCTGATTGTTCGTACTAACACTTTATACTTCTCTGTATATATTCCTGTTTGTAATATATCTGTGTTATTCCATATCCGCCTTCGAGTTCTTCTTTATTGGTTCTACCTTGGACTATCAACTTGGTACAAGGAACCGGACCATAACAGATATATAAATATATATGTAGGTAATGCACTTCTAATTGTATATGTGTACAGGCATATATATTTGGATAGGTCATATATATGTATGTATGTGTATATATATTTGTATGGGCTTGTCGCACATGCATATATGGATCTGTCGATGTATTTGATACTTTATGTGATTATCATGCAAATGCCTACATCATATATATTTTTTATTATCATTACCAGTATTTTTATTATTATTATTATTTTTGTTATTAATTATTACTATTATTATTAGTAGTATATTTTTTATCATTAGTATTATGAAGTCGTTGATTATATGATAAAGATACTGTTTAAATAGACACCATTTTAACCCCTTTGTGGAAATTTATTTGACACATTGTTACAGCTCTGTTTTAAATTTAACTTTGCCTTATCTCTACCTTCCCTTACCCCTTATATAAACTGCTTTTTTTTGTTCCCTCTGTTCATAATGTAAGTAAGTCTTTTATAGGTCAACTATCAGCATGGCCCGGCGTTGCCCGTGCTTGATTCAAAATCGTACGACGCATACAGCAATCGATATCACTTGACTTAAAATATTTTTGCCCTTCCTTGCCTTTAAAGGAGTGCCCTTTACCGTTCTGATGTTGCTACATGCCTTACTTCTTGCCTATCTCATACTGTGAATTTTTTCTAAGCTCTATACCAAACATTAATCTGTTACGAAAAAAGAACTAAACAAAATGAACACAAAACGATCAGCTTTAAAAAAGGACTCGTAACTGGAAAAACCGAATGAAAAAAGAATGTTAACAACAATTACTTTTTCACACCCAACCCAGTTCTGCGGAATCAGAATCAACGTTGAGTTTAAGTAAGCGAATGAGCCAATTGGAGTAAAGTGCCATGCAGATTTAAATTTTTCCCATTTGTGACGAATGCAGCTATCGATTTTTTTCCCATGCTACCATGCTAGTTAACATTCGTGTCAGTCAGCTGTTGGCTCTCACGCTGGCCAATAGAATCTTCCTGCCTATTCGTGGCAGCCAGCTATAGGCTCTCACTCTGGCCAGTAAAAAATGGCCGCAAACTGCATGAAAACTACCGTAGAAGCATGAAAAAATCGATTATTTCCACTATCGATGGGAGTTGGGAAATGCAAAGTCGGTCTTGGCCTTTCCGCTAACATGGAGCATGTTCATGTAAATTTTGGTGCAAATCTGTCGAAAATTGCGGTCGTGCATTCGTTACACACATACACACACATCCTGTCTTTTATAGATAGAGATTTATTTTTGCTATTTTTATTTTGTATTTCCTATTTTAACTTTTTTTATTTTTTTATCTTTGTATATCTGTGTGGGATATATTGATTCCATTTGATAAAATGTAGTAATTCTGATGAGATTAATATGCTTATATTCATCGAAATAAATTTATTACTGACTATAGATTTCTAACGTTTTTTCCTAATTATTTTGGCATGTAAGTGAGGAGCTTCAGCTATGATAGTCCAAAGAACAGTGAAAAAAGACATGAAAAAGAAATCGTATGGAAAGCATGTGAGGCACCTTGTTACTCTAGGACAGAAAGTTAGAAGATTAGAGAGGGCGAAGATCTTCTTGAATAATTTGGAAAATGATTCTGGTACTTTATTTCTATCCTTCATGAGATTGCAATCGTTAGCTATTGTGGAAAATTTGACTGTTCCGGCAGGAGAAAAGCAATGTACTTACCTGGATTATTGTTTCTTACTAACTAAAAGTAGTTACATTTTTACTAACTTTTTATAGTTACAGGGGTCACGTGACATTATTACCACGTGATCCTTGAACTAGTTACAAAGGAAATGTTTTTCCTTTTTGTTTTTATATTTACTTAAAAAGTTATCAGGCAGTCAAGTTACGTTGCTTTCTCGTTTCATGTAGTCAACTGATGGTTACTTCTCAGTGCAGCTATATCAATGTTGAACTTCTTTAGCTCCAATGCGACCAGAGCTGTTTTTCTTTCTGGTGCTGAGTTGTTGTCCTGGAGAGTTCGTACATTCCAAATGCCAAAATGAAGTTGCTGTTGTTTCGTCGAGTTTTTCGCAGTAGCCGGATATGTGTGGAACTAATTAGATGTAGTTGTCAGAAAACCAACACAATGATTTGTTTCAAGTGGTGAAGGCTTGTGTCCGGCTATCCACACTTTTGGGATCTGTCGATAAAAAAGTAACGGTGCAAAAAGACTTGCCATTATATATATATATATATATATATATATATATATATATATATATAGATAGATAGATAGATAGATATATGGTGGTATATATATATATATAAAGTGTATGTACGCAAACGAATAATTCTAATATTTTTCTATACAATTGATCAGGTGACCTAAACACCATGAAATGTTTAGCTTGCATCACGAAAGACATTAACAGAATTCGGTCAATGGTGACTCATAATGTGATGAGAAATGAAGAAAAAGGAATAAGTTTTATCCATAGATATTTTATTGTTCGTGTGATTTCTTCTTCTTTATATGTGATATATTTGCATTGTGACACCATATGCTTGGTGATTTAGTGTCTTATTGATAGCAAATGTCAAATCTTAAACTGGATAGCCTCGACACTTCTCATGTACTCGTCTCCCTCTATTCCTTTTTCCTGACCTCGTCCGGAGCTTTCCTGGTGATCTGATAACTACTGCAACAACTTTCAAGAGCTTCATCAAGGTCTTAACAAAATCAGGATATTCCCCACGGAACAACAGCCGAGCCTTTATTTGTTAACTGTTTTGTGAATTTGGTGACAGTTATTGTAAGTTCAATCCCTGAGCCGGACAGTGTGTACACGAACTCAGTGGAAATAGGGCGAGCAATATTTGAACAGCATTAAATAAAAACCTTACGAGATATCCCAAGATATGGCCAGCAGGAATATACTCTCATGGATTAAATAAAAATTTAAGTTCGAAATTGCCTAAAGGTGACTCGGATCGACAAGCAGCTGATGAGACCCGGTTGATACAATAGGAGAAACATTGTGATAACAACAACAAAGATTAGGACAATCGAAGTTGTCGTCGTCGACAGCGCCTTTATCTCGTATCCAAGAATTTAATTGCTTCTTTGCTGATCGCTTCTTTTTTGATAATGGGGTTGATGACTACATTCACCGCCAACGTGCAGGTTCAGGACTAGAAGCTTCCAGTTTCACGAAAACCTGCCCCGTCATAGATTCCCTATCTCTATTTGACTTTGAAAGTGAAGTTGTAAGTGAAGGTAAAATAAAATCAGAGTAGAAGAAAGTGCCAATACCATGAATTTGTTTACGGTAGACCTCAACTTGCCAGGAAGTGACTCACACACTTGATTTCAGGAACTTCCTATATTGTCACATTCAGAATTCAGTTATGAAACTTCAATTATCTTCGAATGTCGCCTTCTGTAGCATGTCCATCACGCGTAGCCCTCTTCGTCCTCTGATTCAACCTTTGAGATCTTTTGTAACCATTAACCGCATGTCTCACCGTTGGGTTATTTGGAGTTGCTCGCTATTAGTCTGGGTCACCGTCTTGGACCTTGCCGCCAATAGTGGCTTTATCAGGGGTTTGAAAAATGATAGAAATAAAGTGAAAATACTTAAAATGCTTTCTGATTTACTCTGTGTTATGTGAAAACAGCGAAGTCAACCATCAGATACATTCTTTTCTTCCCTTTTGTGACTATTCAATTCGGTCTACTGGCCTGGCGTCTGTGCCGTTTCCACCTCAGAGCTCCAGGTTTTCTTAACGAGCTTTCTCACCAGAATTCCCACCTGATGATTCCCGTTATACACCAATTGGTAGAAAGTATCATTAATATCCCTGAGGTTTCAGTATTCTAACCAATTTGAAGAATGTTATTACATGAAGTATTTAATTTTCAGTCATTAAGTCCGTAATCTTTGTAATAGATTTCGGAATGGTTCAAAGTGCATTTGGGTACAATCACCACTTTCATATTCAATTACATATGAGGTTCAAATAGCCGGATCGGGAGGATTATTTATTTATTTAATTATTAGGCTCTTACATATATTCTTTCGTGCTTTTTTCTGATGTTCTGCGAATGATCTTGAAGGAAAAAGAAATAAAATCGATAAAATAATAATAATGAATATTTTTACCATGATTTTATTATTCGGTCGAGTTAGGGTACAGTGCACACTGTGCTATGTGCCCTTAAAGACACATGGCACATTGTGCACACTGGCACGATGTGCACTTTATCCACTGTGCCATGGATAAATGCGTTCGTTAGATCCCGTGAGAGGACCCAAAGAGTTGTGAGTTCAATACTTGGTTATGGCAGTGGAGAATTTGGCGAGGGGAATTAACTGATAAATAATTGATGATTGATATCCATTAGACATGACACGTGGAATTAGAACAAACTATCCCAGCGAGCCAAATAAAGGGTTCAGTTCGACATTCCAACCACCTGAAGATGGCCGGAGCGTACATCGGCCGAAACGTTGTGATAAATATGGCAACAAAGATGACGACAATAGTCCGAATAATATAGTGTAAATAATACCTCATCACAAAAATATAGACAGATATAGACAGTGTTTTCTTCTTAGTAAAGTCTGTGAAATTTTATTACAGATTAGAGACTGCTTTGATTTGAAATGCCGAGTAAACACGAATAAGTATTTTCTTCTGTTAGCTTTTAATCAAGGCCACAGAGCTGCCAACCCGGATAGAGACATTTGTGTTGTGTAAGGAGATGGCTTGATGGCTTTTTCAAATCAAAACCTAATGAGTATATATTACATTATGTTCTCTCCTGTAAATCTGTTATGTTGAAAGAATTCTCAGGTAAGCTTAGATACATAAAAAGGAGCATGGCCGTGCATAAATACACACTTCACTTTGAAACTGCGAGGCTGGGACGTGTACCATGCGAAGAAAATCTTGTTCATAAAATCACAACAGCACTGTTTAGTTTAACCTCTTCATCGACTTTGAATGGTCCATTAATCGACAATTCCAGTAGCATAAGACAACCTCCTCCTTTCTGGTTTCTTTTAGCCACAGGCTAAAAACCCATCCTTTGGCCATCCATCAGGTCCATCACATGTCACTTTAAATTCCTCCATGAAAATTATTTTAGAAAAATCAATTTTCATGCATTTCTTGGCCCAGTTTTGACATTTAAAATATTTGCTTATAGGAGGTTGCCTAAGAGATTTTTTTACAGATCCCAATTCATAAAGTATTCTAAAACTTTTGTCCATCTTGGTTCCCTCAATTCCAGCCTTTTCAAAAATTTGGGCGCTTGTTAAATATGTTTGTTTCACTATAAGTCGCTTAGGTTTACCATCATTTCGTGGAAGCAAGTTCTTTTTCTTTTGCTTCGAGTTCTCAACATATTTATTCAATAGCTTTCAAACGTCTCGCTAAAACTTTTCTTTTCAGTGCCAAGAGTGCTTATGGCCACATCACGTTGAAACACCATTTCTCTTGCGATCATCGAAGTTAAGCAACATCGAGCTTGGTCAGTGTCAAGATAGGTGACAGCATGGGAATACTAGGTGCTGTAATATATAATGGCTCGGAATTGTTAAGCGGAGAGCCAAGTTCTGATTATTTATGGGTTTGTTTTATTCATTTACCCACAAATACCAATGGGAAAAGGTATAAATTAACCTCTTCGCCGCACAGTTATGGCTTCATCATCATCTTGCGGCCTCAGCCGAGATTGAACTCACCAATACTTTGATTGGTGTAGTACATAACCTTGTCAAATAGCTGAATTCTTGATGCTACGCTAGGGCTATCAAGGGTGTTTTTATCGTGACACCAACACTAAATGGATTGCCAACCAAGGCTCAGAGAGACTCCACCCTACTCTTCTAACACTAAGACATCATTATCTCCTCCAGCAAAAGCCTCATACAATCTAAAATTATTCTCCGGCTTTAAATAAACTTCAAAGGGTTGATAAACCCTAGAAAACCAACAGCTCAAGCAAAAACAATCAATCAGTGCTAGGACGCAGGGAGATTTTTGAGGGCATTTTTTAAAAGGAAAAATGCGTCTTTGCATGCGGGAAATACGGTAATTAATAATAGATCATATAAATGAGTTCAACTTTGGGCACCTTGGCCTGATGTAATGGTTAACCATCTTATCTTGCTAAAACAGTTACGACTGAATAGTCAGTTCGATCCTCACTGGGTGCCTCATACTTTCGGCCTTGTGCCACATCTAAGCTGCGCTTGGAAAAATCACTGTGAGGCCCGGGGTTAATTTAAGCCCCAGTCGAGGTTCAAAGCAAGAAACCTTTATTGAGATTGTGACCGTTCACAATGGCTGGAGAAAATTCAGTCTGTTCCGTGATGTTGAAACGATACTAGCATAGTTTTTTTCTTGTGTTATTCAAAGTTACTAGTCAGTTTTTTCCCAGTTGAGCACTTAGAGTTCAGTCAAAGTAGTGATCAGCTGCCAGACTCTGATCATCAGGATTTTTAGAGGGTATCATCTTTATACTTGTTTACGAATGCTTTGAGAATTTTCCTTGGCAGATCGTTAATTAAAACCAGAAAACGAGTTGGACTGAGGAAAGAGCCTTACCAATATAATGGTTGCAATGTAATAATTACAGATATATTTTTTTAATTTTAGGTTAAAACGACAGCAACTAGGTTAAAATTAATTCTGAGGCTAAGTATGGATTTTATTTGTTTGGTTCATGATTATTGCAGACAGTTTAATTGCGCACATTATTAAAACCTAATTTTCTCTCTTTCGCAGATTTAAAAGAAAAAAATCTTTTGAAGAAATTTCACGATTGGGATTATGCAATAAGCAGATGAAAATTACAATTTAATGATTGAGAAATTGAACCAAGAGCGAGTGAGAGGCAGTCCGAGGCTGACTGACTTACGGCTCATTAGCGACATCTCTGTACAGAATGGAAGCCCATGGACGGAAATGTATCTGCGTCACTTCCGTTACCCCCAGCTTGGCTTTATTGTTGCCGTCTGTTTATTTGTACGCGTATAGCAACAGAAGGCGAAGCAAAAGTGAATACGATATGCGGATCGTTTGAAGTAAACAAGTGAGCCTATTCACTTGGTTTCTTTTAATTAAACCCATTCTGAAAATTGTCAGAGCATTGGATAGGTGGTTGTGAGGCACGTTATTCTATTCTGTACATGGGTTATTGTGATATTTGTTGCAGCAATTTTCCAGAATGATCCTTCCAATCATTATTGCTTATAACACATTTTCTAGCGGTCTTCACCACTGTGGAGTATCCGATTAAATTTTTAAACAGCACCTTAAATTTTTTAAATGACGCTTATACTTAACGTCAAAAATAGAAATCTTTCGGGTACATAATGAGAAGACTTCAACATTAACAGAACATATCAACATTAATAGAATATATCAACATTAACAGACCATATCAACATTAACAGAACATATCAACATTAACAGAATATATCGAACCGGAATATAGGATTGCAACGTATATGCAACCTAACGAGATAACGTAAATTATTGACAGAACAGGGATTAGGAGAGAGAGAAATAGATAGAGAGATAGAGCAAAAAGATATAATTTACTAATAGCTAAAAATGAGGAAAATTGTGGAGAGGCATGATCGCCAACGTCCAGAAGGGACACGGCAGAATGAAGAAGAAGAGGAAGTCGAAAATCCGTTTATTAGTTATTGCCTTTCACAGTGGTTTTTGTAAAGGTTATACTGGGTGAAACTTATTTTCTCTATTTTGATGTTTCTATTCTTCCTTTTCTTCTTCTTCTTCTTTTGATACTTTCTCTTCTTACTTCAAACCCTTCCCCCCACAGATAAAATAACGCATGCCTATATCTGCTCGATGAACGATACAACTCCAAGTTTATGGAGAGTAATTCCTAAATCCACAACTCCTCAAAAGAAGAGAACGACAGGTTTTGAAAAAATGAAAAAAAAAAAAAAATGCAACACTCTTTTCACATACTAATAGAAAAAAAAAACAAAAAAGAAATCATGAAAAAAGCAAAGTCTGCCAAACAATTTGCGTCTGCAGACTTAGCTTAAGTGAAACGCGTCTGTTAAGCTTGTCAACCGCCTTGGTTGAAAAAAAAGTCGTTTTTAGTCCACGGCTAGCTTTTTTGGGTGGTAGTAGTTTCGTTTAAATTTGCCGGCTCCCTTCCCGATAACACACGCCGGTCCTTTGGTGAAGGAGCGGCGTTGCCTGCTTATAGTGGAATAAAAAGAGCACACGCCTTTGAAGTTGGTACTTATATAGCCAGGGTTATGGGACTCTTACATGGACAGTGATTGGTCTTTTCTTTAGCCATTCACCGTCCTCGTTTAATTTAGTTCTTGATTAGTCTTACTTTGATTATTTTAAATTCCAACAGTTCTAATGAGGTATATTCCTTAGTTCCAGCATTTCTAAATTTTACATCTAAGACCCGCCATGCTATTGGAACGAATCATCCCTATTTTCTTTGTATTCCTGAAGTACGGTGGAGGCTCCATTGGGCACACTTTATGGAACATCCTGAGGTGATGCTTCCACGATCGTTATAATATTAACCTCTTCAAATCAAACGGCTCTTCTTACCTTCTCCATTTACGTTAATGAAACTCAGTATTTCTTTGGCTTTCTTTCTTTTTTTTTACTACTATGCGTTTTTGATATTTCTCTTTTTATTTTGCTTTAAGTTCCTTCTTCGTTTTCTTTTACTACTTCATCATCATTATCATTATAATCATCACCATCACATCACCATCATCATCATCATCACCATCATCATCCTCACCACCATCACATCATCATCACCATCACCATCTTCATCACCATCGCCATCACCATCACCATCACCATCATCACCATCATCATCATCATCATCATCACCATCATCATCATCATCACCACCATCACATCATCATCACCATCACCATCTTCATCATCACCATCATCATCATCATCATCATCACCATCACCATCATCACCATCATCATCATCATCACCATCATCATCACCATCATCATGATGATGTAACTCTTGTCCATCCTTTTATTATAGTTTTCTTTGTTGTTTTAAGCTTCATCTTTCACCTGATTTTATGTTGTTAATCATTCTTCTTCTTCTTCCCCCAATTTCTCTCTTTTATTGTCCTTTTTTTTCTTTTTTTTTCTTTTTTACTTGCTTTAAGTTCTTTTTTCTTTCTTTCTTTGGTTTGCCTTTTTTTTTTCTTTTTTCTTTCTCTCATCTTCCTCGCTCTAAGTTCCTTCTTTTCCCATCATTCTCTCTGTTTTTCTCCCTTTGTCTTGCATTACATTCCTTTTTCTAGCTCACGCCCATATCACGTTGAAACTTCGGTTCCCGTACAATCACCGAAAAGGTCGCGCTTGATTAGTACTTATATGGGTGACCTCTTGGGAATACTAAGCTTAAATGTGCGGGTGGTTTAATGGATAAAATAGTCAGTGAGGTACCAATTCAAGCCGGCTTCGTTATTTTCACTTATGCTCAAATACCATTGGGAAAGGTATATGTCCGCCTTTTATCTCGGTAACAAGCTATGGGTTAAAGAGTATGGCTTCTATCATCATTATTGCCAGAAGAACGCTTAGAATCTAAAAATATTTTATAGCTTTAAATAATCCCAAAAGCTCTGATAAACTGTGAAAAACAAATAAATATTTAATTTTTCTTCCTTTACTTGTCTTTTTTTAATTCATTTGGCTAATTCGAATATCAATTCTTGGTTATAATTTCATAATTAATAACTCAGTCTTAAAACCAGACAATTTAGTTCGCTTTGTCAAGGCTTCAGACACCCTATCGTACCCAACATATTGTCTATTTGGTTTTATAGACCAGCATTCAGATACTGCCCGGGTTATTATTGTTTACGCCAAATAGTCTCTTGATCCAATAAGGAAGAGATAATCTCCGATTATCCCTCTGAAATCCCTTGCTCTTTCTGACAGAGGTAAAAATATGACCACGCCTTGTTCCCATAATCTATCCTACTTTTCCCATCTATTTCTTTCTTTCTTTCTTTTTTTTTAAGTTTTGGTTTTTCTTTCGTTTTTCTTTCTCTTTTCGTTTTTGCCTGCTTTTTTTTTTTTTAATTCTTTCTTTTTCTGTACTTTTTCTCTTTTTTTCTCCGTCATATTTTTGCTTATCATTTTTCTTTGTTCTTTTCGTCTCTTTTGTTCCTTCTTTTTTTTTTCATTTTTATTTTTTTTTCGAGTATTATATTGACAATGTTATGAAGGGATTTGAGACGTGCGCCAGCCAAAGTAATAAAATATTAACTATGACAGCCAAGTATTGCATGAGGATTTATAGGAGAACAAACAGAGCATGAGATTATTCTCTAAATATTTACAGTTTAAATGGCTGGATGTAACCGTAAGTTCTATGCTTGTAGTTTCTTCTATCACACTTCTTGCTTGTGGGTCTCCTTTCCAGCTTCTTGATCCCAGTCAGCGTGGATATTCAAAAATTTAAGTATAATGTCAATCGTTATCTTCTATCTTCTTAATTCCTGTTCTTTTATCGTTCTCTC